CCGTCAGAGAACTGATCTGAATGCAGTGCTCCTCATCCAGCGAACTCGATCCCCCCCCTGCTGTTTTGTCTCTACATTCAAAAAGTTATAAAAATAAAAGTTCTAGATTGCACAGACCAGTTCCAAACATTCTGATGATTTAAAATTAAATAATAATAACAATAATAAATAAACACATACCATTTTTGGTTTTCTGAAGCAGTTTCTGAACCATTTGTTGGTATTAACATTGATTTCATATATGACCTCCTACCTTGTAATTCCAATATATATATATACACACACACACATACATATGTGTACACATACATATATACACACACACACATAAATGCATAAAATATTTTATGTTTATAATTATGTATATTCATAAATAAATAAACAAATAAATAAAATAAATATTTATATATATATAAACATAAAATATTTGGTTGCTTACAACCAAAGACTAATGGTGGAGAGTTAAATATATGTGCCCATGCTTTCTTGAAGCCACCGTGGGGTGGCGGTGGAACCGGGTTTTGTGGCCGGCATCGCTATACAGCTATATTTCAAATTAATGGTTATTAAGTCTATATTACTAAGTGTTTGGAAATGAACAATATTATGAAATATTTATATTGATTATAGTGTGAAACATAATGCCAAATTTCCAACAGCGCAAAATTGTAACGTTAAGTTCCTGTCAGGCACTTGTGAGACCTAAACAGCCATCCATCATCAGGGCATCAACGCCCACTACAGTACGATAAAAATTTCACGACAATATTGCTGCATCAGGGTAAACACCTAAACATCGTAGGTTTGCACGAGGACGTCGAAGAAAGAGCAAGGGTGAGCACAACTTTTATTACATATTAGAGCCCCTCTGCTTTAAATAACTATATTTTGTTTGGGAATTTAAGCAACATTATTATGTCGACAGTCAAGTGTTTGCTACCCACCATTAGCAAAATGCATGAACAACCAATTAAGTAGCACTATTCAACCATTTATATATATTTATATATACCGTTTTCATGTGAGGTCCGAGTTATGTAATGCAATACTTTATTATTCATTAAATACGTTTTACTAGGCCACTCCTAAGATCAATAAATTGCCAAAACTGAATTATGCTCGTTGACGCTATCATGTAAAAATAATCATGGTGATGATAACTTTGAAAACGTATTTAATGGTTATGTTTTGAGCACTATATAGGCCTAAAGCAGGAACATGTAAGTTGTCATCGTAATGACTGTCCCTTTGGATTTTTCCCCAGAGTGCGCTCATTCAGGGTGTTTGGGGTGAGTAATTTTAGCGTACCTTCCATCCATGAAAATGCAGTTCAATAACTATGTCCAACAACTATGTTTTTAATTGTATTAATGGATTTTTTTTATCTATAGAACAAAACCAAACATGTATCAGTCGAGGAACTTGTGGAGTCAGTTGAATTCCTGAAAAAAAATGTCATCAACTTTGATGATAATGTCACACATAAAGACGGCTTTTGGGGACAGGTGTGCAGTGCACTTACCATTCCAAACACTAAAAACAATCGCTATAGACTGCTAAGAGCATTTCGTAAGGTGAGCACTTCTTTGTTTCACTAACAGGCTTTCAAAACCAGACTCCTGACACAAATAGTTATGAAAATAACAATTAAAATACGATTACAACACACGCACACACACACTTTTATGTGTAAATATGTATGTACATATAAATTTCTCTTGTTGATGACAGTCAACAGTGATAGTTGCTATATTGTGTTTTACACCATCTGTTAAGCTTACAAAATTTATCAAAGTTACATGCAGTCTTATGTATTTACTAATGAAATTATATAATTTTAGATTCATAGACATAGTCACAGCTTGACCTATATGTCCTTTTTGTTAATTTCCTAAATTTTAACTGTTTGAGATTAACTTGAAGCTTCATGGTTATATACTTTGTAAAAGCACCAGCCAGAATCGTTCCCATCTCCAGTCCCATCCGAAGACCGTGGAAGTGCAGCAGGAGATGAAAGACGCAAGTCTTCTGAACCAGTTAGTCAACTTTTTTTGGTACTGACATCTGTTTCATGTACGACTTCCTACCTTGTAATACCAGCATTTTCTGTCTTTCTGTAAAAGCACCAGCCAGAATCGTCCCCATCTCCAGTGACATCCGAGGACAGTGGAAGTGCTGCAGGAGATGCAACACACAAGTCTTCTGAACCAGTTAGTCAACTTTTTTGGTACTGACATCTGTGTCATGTACGACTTCCTACCTTGTAATGCCAGCATTTTCTGTCTTTCTATAAAAGCACCAGCCAGAATCGTCTCCATCTCCAGTGACATCCGAGGACAGTGGAAGTGCTGCAGGAGATGCAACACACAAGTCTTCTGAACCAGTTAGTCAACTTTTTTGGTACTGACATCTGTGTCATGTACGACTTCCTACCTTGTAATGCCAGCATTTTCTGTCTTTCTATAAAAGCACCAGCCAGAATCGTCTCCATCTCCAGTGACATCCGAGGACAGTGGAAGTTTTCGGAAGGAAATTTTTGATGTTATAATTACTACAAGTATTTGTATTCAGTTTTGACAGTATTAATAACACAAAAACTGTTTTAGAATTACGTTTCATAGTTTTGTATAGAATATAGATTGGAATCATAAATTGTACCCCAAATACAAATTAATAAAGTAGAAATTTGTTATTGAAATTTAGCGCATGCATGTAAAAAATGCACATGGACAAGTGAACAGTCCAAATGTGACCCCCAAATAAGCAGCACCAAATCAAGCAACAGACAAATAATTCAGTTGTTATAGTACAGATTCAACTTTCACACCTAACACGTAAGTAGTTTAGTGTAGATGATAGTTTTTAAAAAAAATTGTTCTTCATTGCAAACCATTAACATTGTACTTTTTCATTAGAGCTCCATGATCAGTAAATCAGATGAAGACGGGTTTGTCAAAATCTGTGTGCCTAAGAACCCCTCCTTCTTTTTCATTGACAAGAGTGAGTGGGATAACCTGAAAAAAAAGAGGCTTTGCAGGACTTCAATGGACCAAAGTAATTTCAAAAGGGCTGAGGACAATAAACCCGTACTGAAGAGATTGGGTTTGAAACAAGCCAGCTCAGAATTATCATGTCTTGTCTACTGCCGATTCGAAGATTGTCCAGTCACCGTTACAGTGAGGTCATTGTCAAAATGGTCAAAGTGAGAACTTTTATAATTTTATTTTATTTATTTTTGGTTATTCTACTAAGGAGGACATACTGGTAACCACAAATACCATTGTCTTCTCTTGAAATGTGGCATAAGTCCTACAATTTACAGTTATTATCAGTTGGTTTGGAGAATTTCTCAAATCATTCTTAATATTGCAAACCAGTAAGTGCATATCTCATAAATATTTGTACAAACAGCATTACACAATGGATTACTTGCAAAAGTCTGTACTTTGCTAAAAAATCCATAGTTAATCTCTCAAAAGTAAGTATTTGTGTCAAGAAACAGATCATTGACATGATAATGACAAATCCTTTTGTCATTGTTCACAAGCAAGACGGTCAAAATGTTTAAGGCATGTTGTCAGTCTGTCAGTGCATGGTTTCAGTATGTCCAGATGTAAACTATGGTTTGGGTTACATTGAAAATGCACAAGGCTGAATTTCTTATGTATGGAATATATAAATTTCAACAGCACAAATGTACACATTACTGTATGTGGGATATTGATTACAAGAGAATGGACAGTATTCACACTTTTACTGTACTGTACTTGTGGTCTGACCAAAAAATTACATTACAATGTATTTGGGATAGAATATTAAAAGACACAAAAGCCAGTGGAGAAAAATATAAAATTACTGAGGTAAACATAGAAAAAAATCCTTGTGCATGCATAACTGTGCATGCAGCATCATATAGTGCAATATAAACAAACAATATTTGGCTGTACCCTCTGTCTTGCCTCGGCTACTGTGAGGCTCTAATTTAATCTGAAATGTGTCTATGTCTCTGGCATCTTCTTCCTCTTCCTCTTCCTCTATTTTGCCTCCCTACCCTTCTATCACGCATTATTATTATTATTATTCCTTGCTCTTGACCATGTTTGTTTACTGGTTGTTCATCCATTTTTTAAATTTTTACTTTTTATTGAGAACCAGTATAATATTTTTGGATCAGCATTACAAAAACAATTGATAATATAGGAAACGTCTCGGGTTACGTATGTAACCCTAGCTCCTCGAGGGAACGA